GGGAGTGGGAGAGGGAGAAGCAGGCTTCCCGCTGAGCAGGGAACCCGACGCGGGACTCGATCCCAGGACCCTGGGATCACGACCTGAGCCGAAGGCAGACCCCAACAACTGAGCCACCCAGGCACCCTATGCTTCTATTTTTTTAATAAAACAATATAGTAAAACTTCTTATTCCTTTGGATATGCTCAGATGAAAATATTTTTTCAACCTATTCCTTATAATAGTTACATTTCTAATTTTACACTTTGATTAAAAAATAAAAATTTAAGTGAAGATACCAACTTCTTCCACATTTTTTCAAGTATTGATATTTATATACAACCTTTTATAGCTAATCATGTTACTATGTACTAAGTTCTCAGAGCAACAGAAATAGATTATTTGCCCATTATTACATGAAAAACATATAGATATCTGCCCAGCATTACATGAAAAATATAATAAAAACTAAATGCCCTCAATGGCCAGAGTAGAAAACAAAAACAATGGGTTCTGAGACCTAAAATCTTCTTGTAATTATAGCTTGATTATTCTTAAAATGCTATACGTTAAGAGATATGACATATGGGATTTTTCAGAGAGCCATGTAGCCTAATGGATAGAATATCTGACTTTGGATATATGGGATTTGCTTTTAATTACCCTAGCAGGCATAAGGACAAACTGGCGGCTGGTGAAAGGGATAGATGTAACTAGCACAATTGCATAATGTTGGTAATTGCTGAAGCTGGGTGACAAGTAAAGAGGTGTTCATTATTTTTTAAAATTTACTGTATTTTTGAAAAAGTCTATGATAAAAGTTAAAACAGGAATAAAAGAATTCTAAATGCACTATTTACAATGACAACTAAAGCAAAGTCCATGGTATATCCAAAACAGAATAAAATGAAATAGAAAAGACCCATTATAAACAAAGCTCCAAGTGGTCTATATAATAATTTTACTTTTTTTATCTTTCTAGTCAAATGAAAAAACAAGTGTTTACCAATAAGCACAAAGCTCTTTAAAAGTTGTATGACAGGTTATGATCGCCACCTACTGGACACTGTGATTAACTGCTAGCTACAAAAAAACTCACTTTTGAGTAAGGGCACCCACATCCCGCCAAGCATCTGGTCCTTCACAAGATAATCCTAATACCATTAAATTTGGGGCACCTGGGTGGCTCAGTCGGTTAAGCAGCTGCCTTCGACTCAGGTCACAATCCCAGGGTCCTGGGATCAAGCCCCACATTGGGCTCCTTGCTCAGCAGAGAGCCTGCTTCTCCCTCTCCCTCTGACTGCCGCTCCCCCTGCTTGTGCTCTCTATCTCTCTCTGTGTCAAATAAATAAGTAAAATCTTAAAAAAAAAAAAAAACATTAAATTTATATTCACATGTATATTAGTAATATTAATATCACATTATTTCTAACAAAATGAAATGCCACCTGCAAAAAGTATATCATAAAATTTTGTCAGAAAGTATAGTGATCATTTTATGATGTCCTTATCTTACAGAAGATTCCAGATTTTGAACTGTTTTCTCACAGAGAACCCAGAATTTAAATTATTTACACACAGAGATAGACCAGAAACTTATAAATTAGCCTGGCTCTTAAATTTGGTGCATTATCTTTTTATTATGTTTTAAAAATCACTTGTAACTTTTAATTGAAAATTTTACTTTTCTTTATAACCTAGCTAATTGCATATACCAGTGATTCTCAATCCTGTTGCATTAGAATTATCTGTGGAATTTTTTTTTTTAAGTAGGCTCCATGCCCAACATGGGGCTTGAACCCACGACCTTGAAATTAAGAGTTGCATGCTCTACTGACTGAGCGGGCCAGGTGCCCCTGGAATTTTTAAATAAGTTGTTGCTGGTACCACAGCCAGAGCTGCTTTTTTTTTTTTAATCTAGCCAGGATTAAAAGAGCCATTAGTAAATAACAAAGGTTCTCCAAGTGTTGTCCATGGAACAGCAATATCATCACCTGGGAATTTGTTAGAAATGTAAATTTTCAAGGACCACCCAAGACTGCTAAGCAGAGCCCAGAAATTTGTGATTGTGAGCCTACCAGGGGATTTGGATGCAGGCTAAAGTTTGAGTGTCACTGGCACTTAAAATTTTTAAGTTTTTAATCTCTTTAAATATAAGATTTAACTTTCTGTTCTCTAAGAAGAAAATATAATAATAATACAAAAGAGAAATATTTACATTAAGGGTAATCTAGTACAGTTCTATTTTCCAGAAATAAACCTTTATAAACACTCAACATTAGTTCTAGTTAGCCAATAGGAAAAATGCTTAATGGAAGGGTAGGGAATAATTTATCCACAGGCCAGTTAATAAAACCCTGGAATGTTCTTGCCCAGAGCAAGTTTTCCAGCCATATTTCCTTGTTCTGGTTTGTTCTGATCACAAAGGCACCTTTCTAAGACATAATTAAGACTTCTAGCCATATCATACCTTTTAACCCAGGAATGTCACTGCTAGGAATAGAGAGGAAAATAAATTATACTCAACGATTTTCTCCAAAGCACTGTAAATAATAGAGGAGGGGAATCTGAAAGCAAGTTAAATGCCCAACAATTAAGAAATGATTCCATAAATTACAGCATCAACAGGATGGAATATTGCTCAACCATTAAAATGATGCTTTCCATATGAGATTTTAAATAATATGGAAAAATGCTTACTTTATAGCATCATGTGTGTGTATGTTCTCTCTGTCTCTGTCGATTGAAAAAGACAATGAAGAACACCAAAATATTAATGCTGTTTATCTCTTAGTAGGATTATGAATAGATTTATTTTGTGCATTTATAGTTTCTAAAACTTTCCATCATAAGAGTACACTTAATCTACTAATCAGAAGATCTACAAATATAATAATAGAACTTCTACTCTAAATTAGGATCTTCAAATAATGATTAATCAGTAAGCTTTCAAAAGACAGTAACTGGGAAAAACAAGTAAGTATCTTTTTCTCTCCCCATCCTACACTACTCTTTTCTCATATCACTCCTAACCCTTTTATTTCTACTTTCTTCACATCAGCTCTGCCATAACTCTATAACTAGAGATATGGAGACACTGAATATCCAATGTTTTTACAATTTTAAACTGTTCAGCTAAACAGTTTATCTTAGAATATATAAAAAGGAGATCAAATACCCCAATGGTTAAGAGAACAGACTTTAAAATCAGATCTAGGTTGGAGTCTTACTTTAGGGGAGCTCATACAGGTTTCAATTTCCTTAACCTGTAAGTGGGAGTACCAACCCTCCCTCACTGAACTGCTATGAGGATGAAATGAGGATGCATGTAAAGCATAAGATAGTAGTAGGCACTCAAGAGAAGGTAACTGCTATTACCATTTTGTAGTTAATGTTCAAGTTGTTTTTGGTGGGACGCCTAGGTGGCTCAGTTGGTTAAGCACCTGCCTTCAGCTCAGGTCATGATCTCAGTGTCCTGGGATTGAGTCCCGCATCGGGCTCCCTGCTTAGCGGGGAGTCTGCTTCTCCCCCTGCCTGCATGTGCTATCACTCTCTCTCTCAAATAAATAAATAAAATCTTTGTTTTTGATAAACAGCCCTCAAATTTTAATTTTCCTGAGGGAAAAAGCTTAATGAGGTACAGTGGTTGCTCAGTCATTTGGACTTCTCCAACCACTTCTATTTCAAAAACAGTTTGGGAACTGCCAAAATACTCTGTACAAAGTGGGTGTTACTAAAACCCACCAACAAATTTATCAATGCTATTATTTCATGAAAGAAGAAGCTTTTGAACATCTACTAAAAAAAAAAAAAGTAGTCTCTGAGTAAAGGAAGTCATTCCAAAGAAAGGACAGTGGGTAACTGCATGCCAAAATCATCCTTACGCTTTCCATTTTGTCACCTACCAGTAAATAAACACCAACAACAGTTTGCAAACTGACACTTGATGAAAGACTCTCAACTTCCTAGCCTGATTCTTCTCCATTAAATGAAGTTTTTCTATCTACATCATCGGATGTTCATTCAACAAACACTAACCAAACCTATTACTTGCTATTAAGCAAAGGAATTCAAGTTCAAATGAGGTTAAGTATATGAAAACATGATACACTATATGTATATTGCAAAGCACCATTAAGTTATATAGTATTGTTATTACCAAAAAACATAAATATTGTAAATTAATTCCTAAAAGGAAAAAAGATTTCCCACCCACATGTTTTAATGTCTTAGTCATTTTCTATATTCATGCTATCACAAAGGACATTTAGAATTTTTAGAATGAACACTTGCCACACTTTTTCTTTAGAAAATAGTCATATTTGTGATATAGCTCATGACTCTGCCATTCTCTGTCTTATGAAAATTGAGAATATTACTTTTCCCTCAGATGGTATTGCTCTCAAGGGAAAGTTACTAAGCTAGAAATTGCTGCTATAATTACCAGCATGCAGAATCTGAATTTTAAGGAAGACAATTTAATAGGATTTAAAATACAAGTTCAGACAGAGAAAATTTTATTTTCTTATTTTTGAAAGTATTGTTGTGGGGCGCCTGGGTGGCTCAGTTAGTTAAGTGTTTGCCTTTGGCTCAGGTCATGATCCTGGAGTCCCAGGATGGAGTCCCGCATCAAGCTCCTTGCTCAAAAGGGAACCTGCTTCTCCCTCTGACCCTCACCCTGCTTGTGCTCTCTCTCTCTCAAATAAATAAATAAGATCTTTAAAAAACAAAAAAAAAGTGTTGTTGTAAGATTTTCCAAGTGTTAAAATTCACTGTCAAGTATGAGGATTGAGAAATAACAAGACACCAAATGTAGAAATTATATACAGTTTTATAATTTTCTTTGTTGCTTTTTTTTTTTTTTAAAGATTTTATTTATTTATTTGAGACAGAGAGAATGAGATACAGAGAGCATGAGAGGGAGGAGGGTCAGAGGGAGAAGCAGACTCCCTGCCGAGCAGGGAGCCCGACGCGGGACTCGATCCCGGAACTCCAGGATCATGACCTGAGCCGAAGGCAGTCGCTTAACCAACTGAGCCACCCAGGCGCCCTCTTTGTTGCTTCTTAATCCACTGAAAATAATTTCAAAATATCACATTGTTAGGCATCTTCTTTGTTACTTTCTTCGGTTTCTACTTCTTTAGGCAACAATGGCTTGATCTTTAGTAACAAACCTTCACTTGTTGAAGTACGAAGGAAAGCTCGTACCACGAAAGGTCCTGGAAACAAACACAAGAATCAACTTTTATTTTATTCCATAAACATATGAGCAAATAGAAACATACGACAAACCTTATAAAACTCATGTTATATTTTCTCCTTGAAAAGTACTGATATTACTGAACTAATATTTTGAATTATAAGGAATATCCTCTCATGTCTAGAGTAGAAGACAAACTGTACTCTAGCATACTAGAGATTTATCCTTAAACTACATATTCTGTAATAATTCATTTCTCTCTTCCAGAAGATGACCACCTAGAATTTATTTTACTGCAAAGCTGAAAGTGAAGGGAGCAGGTAATGATATTTACATTTGATGGCAATATTCTAAATATTTATTTGAAACAGCACTGATGCTATTTCTGTGTTACCAAACATTCAGTAAAATTCCCTAAAAATTAAAAAGCTTTAATGTTCTTTTTCATAAGAACAATTGAGGGACTTCATTTAAAATGGCAAAAAAAAAAGATGGATAGTTCAAGACGGCAGCATAAGAAGATTCTTAACTCACCTCCCACAGACACAGCAAATCTACAACTACATATGGAATAAAATCCTCGAAAAAGTCCTGAAGACCAGATGAGCAGCACATCCATAACAAAGGATAAAAGGGCTGCACTGAGACAGGCAGGAAAGTCAGAGACAACGCTCTCTGAAAAACCCCATCCCAGGCAAGGTGACTTACAATCAGGAAGGATTTCAAAAATACAGAACTTTTCCCTGAGGACCAAGGGTTTTGTCTCCCACACCAGGCACCCCAACCACTGTGTCCTGGACCAGAGAGATGAGCTCCCAAAATATATGGCTTTGAAAACCAACAGAGTGTATCCAGGAGAACCACAGAACTGGAAAGAACAGAGAATTTCTTAAAGGGATCACACACAAACTCACTCACTCCACAACCTGGTGCAAAAGAAGCAGTTTGAAAAGCCTCTAGACCGTATGTGAAGTAAACCGCCTTATTAATCTTAAAGCAACTGCTGGAAAGTAGGAACCTGCTGAGACTCTCTCTGGGGATGAAAGTGCAGGTGGATGCCATTTTTGCAATCTCATTCAACCCTGCTAATGCCAGTGCTTGCAACAGCCATGCTGGCAATCCCACTCTAATCTGCTAATGCCACTGGGCATGCTCTGCACCCCCGTGCCACAACCAAAGCACAGCTGGTAGGCAAGAGCCCCATGCACGACTACCTTGCTGTGCTGCAGCCAAACCACAACCAGCCAGGTGAGCAGCCCCACCCAAAAACGCAACCTTTTGCACAGCCAGCCAGGTGAGACCCCACCCCTGCTACCTCATTCCTACTGTGCCACAGACAGACAAGCACCCCACACCCATCCCACCAAACCCCCCACACAGCTGGCAGGTGTGTGAAGCCCATACAGGGGATGCCCCTTGAGCGTGTGGCTCCCTCCTACTTCTAAACCCCACAGAAAATCTTGTACACAGGGCCACTCCCTCAAGACTGGGAGAGGGAGCTATTTCAATACATAGAAACACACAGAATCAGGCCAAATTAGGGGATAGAGGAATATGTTCCAAATGAAAGAACAAAGCAAAACCTGAGAAAAAGACCTTAATGAAATGGAGATACATAATCTACCTGATAAAGAGATCAAAGTACTAATTGTCATAAAGATGCTTACTCGGGAGAAGAACGAACGAACACAAGGAGAACTTCAACAAAGAGAGAGAAAAATATGTGAAAGTACCAAACAAAAAAAAAAAGAAAGTACCAAACAAAAATCACTGAAGAATAGAGCTGAAGAATAAAATTACTGAACTGACAACTACACGGGAGGGGGTCAACAGCAGACTGGATGAAGAACAGATCAATAACCTGGAAGACACAGCAATGGACTCACCCAGACAGGGAAACAAAAAGAAAAATGAATTTTAAATAGTGAAAATAGCTTAAGGAACACATAGAACAACATCAAGCAGAATAACATTCTCATTACAGGGGTCCTGGAAGGAAAAGAAAGGGGCAGAAAACTTATACAAAGAAATAATAACTGAAAACCCTAACTTGAGGAAGGAAATCGACATCCAGATCCAAGGTCAGAAAGTTCCAAATAAGATAAAACCAAAGAGATTTACACCAAGACATGTTATAGTTAAAATGTCAAAAGTTAAAGAGAAAATCTTAGGGTGCTTGGGTGGCTCAGTCGTTAAGCATCTGCCTTCGGCTCAGGTCATGATCCCAGGGTCCTGGGATCAAGCCCTGCATTGGGGGTCCCTGCTCAGCAGGAAGCCTGCTTCTCCCTCTCCCACTCCCCCTGCTTGTGTTCCCTCTCTCACTGTGTCTCTCTCTGTAAAATAA